GGGGGGGGGGGGGGTGCATGTGCCTGCATGCGTCTCCATCTGTGCGCGTGCGTGTGTGTATGCCTCTCCATCCATAAGTGTGTATGTATGTGTATGTGCATCTCCATCTGTGTATGTGTGTTTGTGCACGTATGTGTGTCTGTGTGTGCAAGAAACACTGGCATGAGGGCAAGAGGCCAAATCCATACCAGTCTCCAGTGGAGAGAAGCGACTAATATTGCTGGCAAGTGAAGTGCACCTGTGTGTGTGTGTGCTACAGCCTCTCCTTCCACTGCCCCCTCCTCCCCCGCTCTGGCCCCCCAGTTCCCTCAGCACCCTGGGCTGACGGCTGCCATACGTGTGGCCTGCTCCTACCATGCCATTTCCCCGGCTTTGCACCCAGCTGGCTGTGGCGGCTTCTCCAAGGCAGGGCGCAGCCCCACTCCTTGTTCCAGTTATTTATTGTCTCCCTCTGGTGCGCTTAGCCCTCAGCTTCGTTGGGCCAGGCGGGGCATGAGCTGGGCTGTGCAGGCAGATGGGCGCTGGCACCAGGACGATTTTGTACCTCCCTGCCGTCCCGCGCTGTGCCGAGGTGACCGGCTGCTCTCTTTTTTTTTTTTACATGACTGTAAATATAGATAGAGCTTTATTTTGTTAATAAGACGAGGAGTAACTTAACCTGTATATTTCACATACTTGTTTACAATCCCCCCCTCCTCTTGGCACAATAAAGATGACATTTTGGAGCAGAGAGTGGGGCTCACCGCTGTTTTGGGGTCAGATGCTGCGGGCCAGAGGGTGCTGGCTCCAGCACAGAGCACACTGGATCTTCATTCCTCTGGGTCACTTCCATTCTCCATCTCCTACTAAGGTGTTTGCTTGTCTTCTCACATCTTTCTTCTATCCAACTGTCTTCACCTGCTTTGTTCTCTTACTTCAACCATGCACTGCACCCTCGCTGGGTGGGCAGCAGTAGGATCAAGCCCCTGACCTCTGGATGTCAGAGCAGCAAGGCTATGCGGTGCGCTCAGAGCTATTTCTTATGTGCTTTGCATTTGCTGCCTGTCTTCTCTTTGCAGGCACACCCACACCGCCTTACTCGGGACAAGCAATTATTTTGCACAGGGGGCCACTTACTGAGTTTTGGCAAGCGGTTGAGGGCCGCACCGGTAGCTCCGCCCTCTGATTGCCACATTGGGTCCAGAAGTCCTGCCCCCTAACCCCTGACCTTTGCTACAGAAGTCCCTCCCGTTGCCTGCAACAGTACTCCTTTCAGGACGGGGTTTTGCCATCTTGCAACCAGAAAAATCAGCGATCAACCCCCATTGCCGCCGGAAGGAGTAGCAGAGAAGACAGCAGGAAAGCAGGTGTGAGCTGGCCTGCTGCTATTTAAGAGACTAATAAATTGATGTGCCAGCCACCTCCTTGGTGCCTGGTATCTTCATCTCCAAGTTCATCCTTCCCCCCCTGCGCTGTCTTTGCTCTTTCCTGTCATTTCACATCCAAGCTCCCCTCACCTGCTGCCCTCTTTCATTTCTACAGTGGTTCTCTTGTAACCACTGCGTGCTGAGTGCCTACAAGTGGATCACCCAGGATGCTGAATCCCTTGCTGAAAAGGGATTCGTGGCAGACGTCATTTGACCTGGCTCTCCGGGAGTCAAGCATTGGAGATCGAATCGAACACCTGAGGCTGCAGCCCCGAGTCATGCGAGTCCAGACGCTTTTGGGAGTCAACCGACATCAGCCCCGGAAGGACGAGCAGACAAGACGGCAGGCGAGTAGAAGCGAGCTGACCAGGAGGGAAGAAAACCAGGCCAGCCTAACAGGAGGCAAAGGTAAGAGAGTTTCGACAACGGGAGTCCATGGGCTTCTTGGGTTTCACCATTAAGTTGTGGACTGGGGATCTGTGAACCTCAGGAGGTTTGGGATGATGGGACCTGTGACCCCTGGCCTGGGAGCAAGGTCTGGGTCTCCTGCCCTTTATTTCTCTGCATCTTAGGCTACTTTGTGAGGTTGATCAGAGGTATTGTTCATGGGTTATGGGGAAGGTTGCAGGCTTCTGGAGGATACTGAGCGCTTTGAAACCCTTTCACCTTAGGGTTCAAAAGGGAGAGGTTGCAGCTGCTAGATGTGTGCTCAGGCTCTGTTTGCTTACAGCCAGTCTCAGTTTCTGTTCTTGCAGTCCTCGGAAGACCCTGGCAAAGAAGTAGATGGGGAGGCAGCAGAGAAGAGGCAAGGTAGGAGGAAAGCCAGCCAGAGAAATGGGACATGAAGGAAAGGGACTCTGGACAGAGCGACCTCCCTGCCTTTAGGTCTCGATCACGTATTGGTGAAATTTTGGCTGCGTGAGCCTTTGGGCGAGTTCCCTGTAACCCGGAAATGGGTCTCTGCCCTTGATGCTGTTGCACTTGTGCAGCAGTCGGGTGGACGGGGGACAGCCCTGTAAGCATGTAAGCAAGGCGTGTGTCACCGCCACCTCGTTTGTAAAGGGCATGGATCTGGTTGGTGGTCTTGTGCAGCGCAGCCGCCCTGTAATTGGGGTCCAGGCCAGCTGCCAGAGGTGGCTGCTGACGGCGCAGGCTCCTGTAAGCAGGGTGCGTGCTGCCTTCTACCACACGAGAAGGACAGTGGATTTGAACATACGTAGTACTGGACATCCTGTAATTGGGAGGCCAGGTCTGCTGCCATAGCCAGCCAGTCGGAGAGGTGCCCCTGTAAGCAGGGTGGGCGTAGCCTCCTTTGGCTGGGCTGAGAGAGACGGAGCAGTCTGCAGCGTTGTGCAGCAGGACACCTTGCAGACAGGAGCCGAGTCTCGTGGGGTGACAGCAAACTCTTCAGAACCCAGAGCTTGATGACCTTCCCGCGGCTGGGTTGTAGCTCGTGGCCTCCTCTCCGATCCCTGTGTCCAGGCACCTGTCCTTCCTGCATCTGTGCCTGGAACTCCTCATCCGGATTGGGGGTGGGGGGGGCACCCTGTAACGAGGGTGCGAGTCCCATGCCTCTTGGTGGAGGGCTAAGTTCTGCGGAGCTGTGGACCACCCTGTAAGCAGGGTGCAGGAGTCACTGTGCCCCTGGGGGCAGCTTGGTGCCTTGGCTGGCTCTGGGCCTTTCCCTTTTACCCGCTGCGAGCAGTCTGTCTAGTCAGGCAGACCGTGCCCTGTAAGGAGGGTGCTGGTGGTCTCAGCCTTCTTGGCCCCTGGGAGTGGAGGAGGTGAAGCGGTTTGAAACATGGGGCTTTTCTGGCCTGGGAAGGCTGCAGGTTTCTGGAGGATACTGAGTGCATTGGGACCCCGAGGCTTAGTGACCTTCCTGTAACTCAGGTCCAGGTCTCTGCTCCTCTACTGCAAAGGCTCATGCAGCCATCACTATTGAGATGGCCTCCGCCCACACCCTTCTGGCCTGTGGGGAGGAGGCCTCATTTAGTCCTTTGGGCTCTGTGGCTTACGTGACAGGAGACTGAGGTCGTGGCCCTTCTGTCCTCTGGCCCTTCTGTCCATGGGGCAGCTTTGACTGCTGATGGAGACAGCAGGCATTGAGGGCTTTGCAGGTTGTCTCTGGGCTTCATGCCCCAGCAGCCAGCTGTCTGGCGGGAGCACCGCCCTGTAAGCAGGGTTGCCAGTGCCTGGGGTCACCGTTCATGGTGCCACCCTAGCAGTTCTGTCCAGAGTCCTGGCCCATGGCACACTGCTTGTGGCTGGTTGGGATGTCAGCAGCGGAGCCCGCAGAGGTGTGCCCTCCCCACGTTCTGCAGACAGAGGACAGAGTGGCTGCAGGTCCAGGTATGGGTAAAAGGGGGAAAGAAGTTGGGGCCTGTAGTCTGGTCTTCTGACTTAAATCCAGTGCCTGTCTGTTTTTAAGCCCCCAGAAGAAGCAGGGAAGATAGCAAATGAGCAACTAAGAAAGGAAGAAACTCCCGCTCACCCAGCAGGAGGGAAAGGTAAGGGAGTTTGGACACGGTGTCTGTCCTCTCTGCAAGTTGCATCCCCAAGTTGTCAACCTTGTGATTAGCGCCTTGTGGAAGGTGGGAGCACTGGGGCAGCTGCACACACAGGATTCGTGTCTTGGGTCCTGCTGTTGTCATACACGGGTAACTGCTAGGGCCGTACTCGTCCTCTTTTAGTAAACCGGACATATGTCACATCCCCCTTGTTTTTAAAGGACACCAATCTTGAGAATACAATGGCACTGGGAGATACTTTTGACTCTCTTTTTCCTGGGGGGTGGGATTCATTGCCAGTCAACTCCACTTCTGTTGTGTGTACTCTTGCAGGTCCCTGAAGGGCAGCTGGAGAAGAATGAATGGAAGCAGGAGAAGAAAGCTCGGGAACAAGTGTGGGTTGGGGTGGGCAGGAGGGAGGGAGCAAAATGTTTAATGTATGCTTAGATAGGTACAGATGGAGACTGTTGTGCGCATCTCTACACTTTCAAACACCCATTAGGAGCAAGCAGCCGCACGCTTCAAGTAGCACCGTGCATTTGGTCTTGGGTTGGCCCTGATTGTGTTCGATGAGGGTGAGGCTTTGTGCTAGTTGTGCGTATTGATATGCAGCAGTCAAGGGTTTTGCAGGTTGTCTGGCCTGGCTAGTTAAGCAGTTGATCAAAATAGATGTATGATTGAAGGCAGCGTGTAGGTTTTTGGTAAAGGTAGTTGGCCTGCTCAGTGTCAAACCGGTAGGAGCAAGCATGCCTAAGATGTGCACAGTTGCACGATAAACAGTATAAAAAACTTCACCTTGTGGCTGGTGCTTTTCTACAGAGAAGCTTTGGTCATTAGCCTTTCCTGTTGAGAGCTGGCTGAAGGGATAAACTTTTTCATTCTGTCTGCCGATCCAATCTGTGTTCTTACGTGTTTAATGCAAATATTTCCCGTTCTGACTGGCCAATGGTAAACGAATATGTAGCGGACGGTTCCTAGTCATCAGTTTACTATTGTTAATGCGCTGTAGGAAATCAGTCCTGATTTATTTGAAGAACTAAAAAAATAAGGTACAGTGAAGTTGTGGTGCTTTGTATAATTTGGTGAAGTTCAGCTGATCCTTGTCTAAAAGGAAAAAAATAGTCCCAATAAAAATAAAATGCTCAGGAGACTTGTGAGCTTCTTGGTGTTTTTTTTATTTTAGTTGTTTCAGACCTTCTTTGAATGCCTTTAGTACAAGTCTTGCTGTCTCTAATGGCAGGGTGGGTGCTTTTTCTTTAAGGGCTGGGTCCCAGCGGTGGGAAGCTGCATTGTCACCGTTGCAAGGAGAACGACTGCGCGGATCCCCAGCTGCCTCCAGGTTTTCATGAGTCCCTTAAGTCCAGCTGCGGTCCCCTTTGCCTGTTTAATGTAATGTCTGCAGGCTTCCAGCCAGCATTACCCATGTCATCCCTGAGGGGCTGCTGAGTTCAGGGGGAGCCAAACCCATTCTTTCAGTGCCATTATATAATTGTTTTTAATATATTTTTAAATGTATTACTTAATTTAAATATTGGGGAAAACTTATAGCACATTTCTAGGGCATTTGGCTGGAGGGAGGGAATGAATATTTTTTAACCATTGAAACAAAAATGTGTTTGATTAAGAAGAGGCTTCTGATTAATGTAGCATATAAGATACACATCTACTCTTGGTTTTGGCTGATTCACATCAGCCTAGCTGTTGAGCCATCTTGAGCCCAAGCCCAATAGTAGGAGCCTCTTGTGCCCACAAACGCAGCTCAAGATGCAGACACGACAGCTCTTGCTGTTTCGGCATTCATTGCAGCCCTGAGGAGCCGTGGTTCACGAGCCGCTCTGCTCCCTGCACTACCCTGTCTGTCGCTTGTGCTCTCGTAGTGAAGTTCATGTCTTGATCTTCATGGTGTGGGCAGGGGCAGAGCTTTCCCCATTGACCTGTATGTTGAGTGCCTGCCATAAAGCACCCTGAAGAGCTGTGACAGTCATCTCATGGGTGCAGGGTTTTCCACATTTTCTGAAAATGGGGGCTCTTTCAAAGCCCGCCCTTAGGCACCCAACATCACTAGTCAACTCTTAATATCCTGGCCAGTGTCTTGGGTCAGGGTCACAGCACAGTGTCACCTTGCTGAGGTGTTGAGATCAGCCAAAAAGTCTGCCAAAAAGGGATTTCTGTTTCATGGGCGTTTCTTAGGTTCCCGTTGGAAGTAAGACCAATCTTCTTGTTTAGTTATTTTACTCAAAAACTAAATAAGCCATTTTGCATATGCAATTACTCCTATAATGCCCAACCTCAACCAAGGTCCTACTATTCCCGGATGTCTCCTATGAGGTGAAACAAACAACTCCTTGCAGCACACAGAGATAAAAGAAAGAAAGAAAACAAACCCCAAGACTGTTCTGAAAAGGTCAGCTGCTGCCCCACCACACCCCACGGAGCAGCACCGGCCCCTCCCCTCTTCTCTGCCCGGCCGGTGGGCAGGGAAATGGGGCCGACGCTGCCTCCCGGCCCCCGGAGCGGTCTCGCGGGCGCTGGCTGCGGCCTTCTCCCTGCAAACGCCCAGGAGGCCCGAGCTGGGGGTGGCCCCAACGCCGGCCCCCTGCTCCAGCAGCCG